TAGGTCATTGTACAACAAAAGCCGTTGCGTATTAGGCGCTAGCAATGCAAGATTTTGCGCTGCAATGAAGTTGCAATGACGTGTTGTTAGGCGTTTATCCTTGCGAAATTGATTTTTTACACTGTGCGTCAACATCTTCATTCCCTGAAACTTTAAACCCCGTTCATATGATAGCCCTTTTAGTTACGATAATTTCTCTCATTGGTCTTATTGTCATGCCACTTATGGATTTTCCGTAATTTTGTATTATTCACACTATGTTCAAATTGCCCCACATGTTCAAATTACCCCACCCTACCCTATATGCCTAAGATATCCTGAGGGTACCGAGCTTGTAATTCGAATCTTTCAGGCCAAGGCCAGGTCATATCGCGGAGGCGCGGAAGGAGAGAGACGACTGAGCGGGCCGAGACTTGTATTGCAACTGTAGTTCTGATTCTGATTCGCCAGTGCCTGTGCGTTATATGCAGGGTGGTTGCACAATGAAGGACCGGTCCGCCGACCCGCCGGGTCGGTGGACGGTGCCGACACGTGGGGAAAGTGACGGCTATTTCTATGTAACAAAGCTTGCACGTGTACTCTCTTTATCATGATATGGAAGAAGGGAATCGGTCCCACATTATCTTCCCTCCCCCAGGGAAGCGTAGGGAACCGAAGCGATCATAACAAAGAGAGGAAACGTTTAGCTGACGGAGAAAGAAATGTTCATATGAGCGTATCACAAAATGGTATGAACAGATAAGTAAGTTTCGTGACAATTACACCTACTACCGGGCGATCCCTCCGCACTCTTGGCGGGGACCGTCCCTGGGCATCTCCATGGCCCTCGGCATCTCTGGCCGAATATCAATACAATATAATTTCAGTGAATTGACCACGATTAACGTATTTGAATGTTCATACCGTTGAGAGCAGGCTCTTTTTACGTTTACTAGTGTCAAAATGACACGGCAAAGTGCAGGCAAAAATTAAATGCACTTGCAATTTCTCCGTAAATTTTGGGGTGAGCAACCACAATGAAGCACAACAAACGACAGAACACTGACGAAAACGGATAATGAAACAGTACGGTTTTTGAAACACATCGAAGTTAAAACAAATTTCACAGCACAATTTCACTGTCACTTTTTGACGAAAATACAGCAAAAGTTCATAATGGGTGAATTTTCTTGATTTCGGTGCCAAGTTGTCTTGAATTTAGCGTTGATATTTTTTTTTTCTTCTCTTCTCTCCTCCGATCTTGAGTCCTTCAGCGAGATGGTGTCCATCACTCGATGATGCTGAGGAGGACGGCGCGGGCTGATGAGCCGTGCGCTGTCGGCGGGCTCCGTAGTAGTCCAGGGTAGCTGATGACCTTGCCGCAGGGCAGATAGTCTTGCTGGGCAGAGCTACTCACTGGAGACGGTGCTGCTGGACGATGACGAGTCCAGGATGGTCAGCTCCCTAGTCGATGACGTGACGTAGGGGCGATACACCGTCACGGAGCACGGACTAACCAGTCTGCGATGTCAGTGCAGATGTAGAGGCTGGGGTCCGTGTTGAGGGGCACAAGTCCCCTCGACCGCCGCTGCCACCATTGTCGCGGAGGCGCGGAAGGAGAGAGACGACTGAGCGGGCCGAGACTTGTATTGCAACTGTAGTTCTGATTCTGATTCGCCAGTGCCTGTGCGTTATATGCAGGGTGGTTGCACAATGAAGGACCGGTCCGCCGACCCGCCGGGTCGGTGGACGGTGCCGACACGTGGGGAAAGTGACGGCTATTTCTATGTAACAAAGCTTGCACGTGTACTCTCTTTATCATGATATGGAAGAAGGGAATCGGTCCCACAGTCATCATAGGTCACAGAAATTTTATATCATGTATCGGTCACGTGACGCATGTTTTTGATCTAATTTATCCAAATGTTTCGGCAAAAAATGTTGTCTGTATAATTTGGGGTCATTTTCAACTGAATTTTCCTGAGGTAAGGTCACTTTCAGGTAAAAAAAAAAACAACAACAAATTTTGAAAATGAAATTTTTCAACAAAAAAGGTGCCTTTCAGAAGTAGTTTGAGCTCAAGAACACGATGATGCTATTTATATTGCCACATTTGAGGGAAGGTTGGTGGTCGTATAACTTTAGATGACGTCACAGTGACGTCACAATGTTTTGCCGTTTTCCAAAGTTTCTGATGTCGCTGAGCATGAAACATAGCGGTAAATGAAGTAAACAGCACCTGCTGTCATTCTGACATATCTAAGTACCTACCTACACTTTTATGAAACTAGATCCTGACCAGTTACCGGCCCTATATTATCGGTCTCATATGTCGGATATACCGTGAGGAAACTAAGAGACGCCAATCTACGATTGGGTTTCTAACGTCACTGTGACGCCATGTCAAATGGGATCGACACCAAATTTGAACACAATCTCCGCTAGCTATTCAGAAATATGTGTGCAAAGTTTCGTTTCTCTATCTCTTCGCGTTGCGACGATATCGTTGGAGAAGTAAATGGGGGGGGGGGGCAACTATATGCCCCTAGCTCTCCAGCGGCCGGCGGGTGCTGCGGGGTCCCAGCGGCCGCCGGGTTAGGCATGAGTCCTCTCAGCTAGGGAGAATTGATCCTGGATTAATTGAAACCTCTGGCGAATGCCATTTAATGAGCAGGGGTTCGGGAGGAGGTGCAATTGACTTTCCTTCGCCGCTGACTAAGAATCGTAGCAAGGCTAGCGGTGATGCTGGCAAAATGCCACTACTAAAATGTACATGAAGTGTTTCTAGAATTCTAACTTTAAGGTCACGTGACAGTTAAAGGCCGGGCAAAAAGTCAATTAAATGAGTTAAAAAAGTAAAGTCGTCACGTAAAAGCAAAAATAAAAGTCAAGAAAAGTCATACTTAAAAATATAATCAAAAAAAGTAACCGTACTCTCATAATTAAAATCAAAAATCTTAAAAAAGGCCAGATAGTCTCGGGGAGCTTTCGGCTTACGCCTTCTTCAACTTCTTTTGGAGTTGAAGAAAGCGTAAGCCGAAAGCTCCTCGAGATTATCTGGCCTTTTTTAAGATTTTTGATTTTAATTATGAGAGTACGGTTACTTTTTTATTATATTTTTAAGTATGTCTATGTCTCTCAAAACAGTGCTCACAACAATTCAGACTCAAGAAAAGTCAATTAAATTTGCTTGGAAGGTTTTGTAAACGCACTCATGGTATCGAGGTAATTTTGTGTCGAATGCTAAACAGTAATGGCGAATATATTCCGTGTCAAACATTGAGTGGGGGAAAGTGGCATAAGACGGGCATCCTAACTTTGGAGCCATTTTTCCGCCGGTTAGAAACAACATAGAGACAGGAAACTGGGCGAAACCTTTTTTTAGACATTTTATTTCCATTTGCCAGAAGATGAAACTTAGAGCTGATTCAGAGAGAGAGAGAGAGAGAGAGAGAGAGACCATTTATTCAATAACAAACAGATGAATATAACAAATAAAGTATGCAATTGGCGCAAAAGTGCTACGCACTTAAATCATGGCGCCGCTTGCTAAACGAGAAGTACTTAACGTATTTAGCAACAATAATAATGATGAAACACAATGGAACAAGAAGAACGGAATAAAAATATTTATGTTGCAAAACATGTCAAAGAGATCGTCGATCGACCGGACCGCCCAAGCCCGGTAACGCTCCACGACCCCGGCGGCACTGCAAGGCTGCCCCGCACCGCGCCCACTCGTCCGACCACGGTAGTGGTGAGGATTGAGGGTGAGGATCAACAAATAGGCTGTAGCTATTTTCGCAAAAACTTGCAAAAAACGTCTTACCCCACCCCGTGGGGTAAGACGGCCATATGGGTAGGGCAAGACGGCCAGCTACTTTTACCGACCAGTACTGAGTACAGCTGGTAATAAATCCCCGAGATTAGCTGCATTGATACAGTCGCTCGTTGGTCTTAAAGTGCTTCGGAAAATTAAAGGCAGTATACGAGATTCGTGCAGAAGGCGTATGCTCGTATATAGGCCCTAGTTCAGAAGCCTTGTAAAGCCGTCTTTCATACTCATTATTCGAGGATAAACTGTACCGAAGGAATATTGCTAAGATGCCTGTTACATAGTATCGAAATCGAAGATATTCTTACCAGAAATGCTTCTTTTCCTACAGCAACAAAAATGTTTTCATCAGTTACAGACAGATTGGATCCATACTTGCCCGTCTTACCCCAAACTCAATGTCAAAAGTTAAGCACGATTTGTTGCGGACAATTTGATGCAGATAAAGCAAAGCCGCGGTAAATGAACACTGGTGGCATATGAGTGTACCACAAGTGTTTGCGAGTTTTTAACTCTATAGCGCTGCACAAAAAAAAGCTTGCACAATACACTATGGATGTTTTCAGTGACATGAGTGCTTTTAAAGAAATCGAAATGCAAGATTATTGACTGTACACAACTTCACCAGGCTTCAATGGTGGTGTGTGGTGGGAAATGCAACTCTGGCCCTAATTTTTCTCGCTCGTGGCGCTATTGGTTCGGTCTGCAGAGGGTGTGCCCGTCTTACCTACCCTGACCGTCTTACCCCACTTTCCCCTACTTTGGAGTCAATGTCAGCTAAAAAGGTCACTGTTTCAAAAGTTATTGACATGTTTTACGATGCATGTTGTCAGGTTGGTTTGGGTTATAGAAATTGATGGAAGTATTGCATGTGCAGAAAGACCGGGAGTTGCGAGGAAAGTTAAGCTCTTACTGAAGCTCATGGACTTTCGATAACAGAGTGTTATCCACCAGAAAGGCTAACGAAACACACAACATTAAAACTGAAAACAGATACACACAGACCAGCATACACAATCTAACCCAAGCTTTCGCTGACAGACAGTACACTGACGGGTCTGTGTCGACCGTCTGCCAACGGCTCACAGTGCGGCCCCGGTCCGACGTTCTGCCAACGGCTCACAGTGCGGCCCCCGGCCCGACGTTCTGCCGTTCGCTCACAGTGTGGGCCCGGTCCGACGTTCTGAGCCGGTCCGTGATGATAGCGGGCGTAGCCGGCGGTGTGCAACGCTCTCCGGCCGGCCGAGCACGAGCGGCCACATTCACTGCCGGACGGGTATTGCCGAACACTGTTACCCGCCCGGTCAGTCGGTCCTTCGTATATATAAACCAAAGGTCGTCTGCAACTGGCGTCAATCCGAGCGGCAACATGAAGACGGTGAGAGCTCCGCACTGCAGCCGCTGCCGAACGGCACGCCTCCTATCTGCATAGAACTTTACTTTGAATGAGCTTACGTTTTAAATTCATCGTATCCATGAACCAGTGAACATATTCAACAGGTATTTTTCTCATAATTATGGTTGAGCAGATTAGCGAAAATTGATTTTGAGTCGCTTTTCAGCATATTTCGATAGATATTGAAGAGGATTGTGTTAACAATTCTCCAAAAGCTATGAAATGTCTTAGAGCGTAGAATAATCTAATGATAACCGCGCAGTTGTCTTCAGAAGTAAACCATTGCAACTATTCATGTATCGTCCGCCATTCATGACCCGAACGTTTTTGTCTTTTCAGATCACGCTGACCCTGTGCGTCCTTCTCATGGCTGTCCACTCCAGGTCAGTATTTACCTCGAAAGATCGGATATCGGAATAGACGGTCATCTTTCGATTGCGGTCGAGTTTTTTCACCCTGCTTCTAAACGAGTAGCTTCAAAAGCTTAAGTAACGATTATAGCTGCACCATGTTTATTTGGTGCACCTGCTTAGCGTATTTTCCTATTTCGCTTTGACAGGGGAAGACCATCTGTCATCTTATTTGTTTCACGTTTCAGATATTAATTATTGATACCGAATTGAGCTCATTAGCTGTATTCAACGATGACCTAACGGAAATTATCTTTTTGCAGTGTGGGCACCTTCGGAGGCGGCGGCGGCGGCAAGAAGGGCGGCGGCGGCCAGAAGAGTCGCTACAGGGTCATCAGCTCGTACGGCACCTACGGCCACGGCGGAGGAGGCTACGCCAAGGGCTACGGCTACGGCCAGGGCGGCGGCGGCGGCGGCTATGGCCAGAGTCATGGCGGCTACGGCGGCCAGAAGGGCTACGGCGTTCAGAAGGGCTACCACACGGTCATCATCGAAGAGATCGAAGGCGGACGCGGCGGTGGCAAGGGAGGCAAGGGAGGAAAGGGAGGCAAGGGCGGCGGCTTCGGTGAGGGTTACGAATTCATCGGTGTGCTGCGACCCAAGGCGCACTACGGCAGCCAGATCGGCGGCGGATACGGACACGGTGGTGGATTCAGCGGTGGATACGGCGGCGGACTCGGCCAGGGATTCCGTGGTGGATACGGCCGTGGATTCAGTGGTGGATACGGCCAGAGATTCGGTGGTGGATACTAGATCTACCACCGGCTCGTTTCCTTGTCGATTGGCAGCAAATCATAGCGGGAAGTTTTATTGTGCATACGATGGGTGCGTGCCACACTGCTATTAAGCACTGCCATCAGTACGGAAGTGTTTTACGTGTTCTTTGTTGTGTGTGAATCGCCTAGTCAACGCCGGTTCGTTTTGTTGTTGGATGAAGTTGTAACAGAGCATACTTGTTGATTGGTGTTATGCATGATCAACAAAAGTTTTGTTGAACTGCCGATGCGTGATGTTTTAACAATAAAACACAAAATATATCCCACATTTTTCCATCGTAGACGGATCGGCGGCTGCTAGAAAAAGAAAAGGAGAATAAAGAAGGGGGAGAGAGAGAGAGAGAGAGAGAGAGAGAGAGAGAGAGAGAGAGAGAGAGAGAGAGAGAGAGAGAGAGAGCAAATAAGAAAATTGAATAAGATTGCCGCCTATGAATAATTCTCGGACGATATAATTTTGTTTTTATATGCTTTTTTAGGTGCAACAGATTTATTTTCAAACATTGTTTATCTTGAAGATAATGTCTTCCATCATAAAACTAAGTCGACCGTATTGGAAATACGTGATACATAATAACGCAGAAATCACGACAAAATATCAGTTCATGGCTCCAAGAAGTGGCGCAGCAAAACGTTGAGTCTTCCCAATATGTAGAAATAGGGTCAATCTTTATGTAATATCGTAACTGGCTGCCCTAGCGCTCTAAAACCTTCTTCGTAAAAGAAGTAAGGAATTAGGGGCACTATCCTGCGCAGTTCTCTATAAACACGTACACACAAACCGTTGACTGTGACGCGTATAGCCTCGTTTGGCTGCATCAGTCAGGATTAAAACGGCTAGTGATTCCGGACGGCGGATTACGGTTATAATCGGCCACGTCCAGGCTGGAGACGTATAAAGTGGTAGGCCGTCCGCCCATGGTCAGTTGCAAACAGTGCAGCAGCGAACACGGTAAGAACTGTTGTGGGAGCGCTTGAGCGACGAGCGTGGATAACTATTGTTGCTGTGGATGATTAATTACTTCATTGCACGCCAACTCATTAATATTGCATTTTTGTACCTAGTAGGTACGTTTAGGCTCCGTGTCGGAATGGGTGCATACGTAGGTACAAGATAAATAGAACACTTTCGCAAATGTTAACCCGAGCTCTCTACCTTTCAGATGACGAGGCTATTCTCGGTTTGTCTTCTGCTCGTCTATAGCTTTGTGTAAGTATACATAGCAACTTATATCCGCGTATTGTAACAGTCGATCCGTATTGCTGAGATGTGCACATGCTTTTGAAGCCGTTTCGTGCGTTTGTAAAACGTCAATGCAGGAAACCCGTTGGTTATTTTTTTCAGGAAGTCACAAACTAGACGAAATTCACGATTTAACTACTGAAGTTAATATTGATGTTTTCCACCATACCAGACAAGGACCCGGCGACCTCACCTAAATGACTGGCACTATTTTTTTTTTTTTTAATACTCTCTCTCTCTCTCTCTCTCTCGCTCTGTAAGGTCCTTTTCATCCCTATCTGCCTGTATCTGCAATATGACACCGACCCAACAATAACCGCCCTGCTCTTCTCTCCAGACTGAGCCCCGCTCTCGCCCGGCCCAGCCAGCGACACCGGCACGGTGCCGTGGTCAGTGACGCCAACGGCGGCGGACTGGGGCCGGACGGAGCCGACCCGGCCCTGTTCGGAGCCACCGGGGGCTTCCGAGGCGGACAGGTGGGAGGGTTTGCTGCCGACATTGCTGCAGGACATGTGGAACAGATCGGTGACGGCTACGGAGGACTGCTCGGTGGTGTAGATGGAGATGTGGTCGGAATTCCGTCCTCGTTCTCCGGGAGGAGTTAAATTGAAACGGTGCAGCTGTGAGGGCTGAAGTGACTGGACAGTTGTGCTCTGTATTTATCGAATGTGTTTAGCCATATGTAATTGTGTAGTGGTTGTTACCATTTCCCTGTGCGGCTTTAGTGAAACAATGCTATAAATGGAAAATAATATACGGCCTCCAAGTTCCGATTGATAAACTCGAAGAAATTTCACACGTTCAGATATCATACAAGATATGACATTGCAATCCTGTTCCCAAGCTGTCACCCAGTTCACATCTAATCGGAAATTGATCGGGACATTTGGAGCGATTGCCAACACCGCTGCAGTCAGTTGCAAGTGCTACCGGCGCTCCCCACATTTCGTGTGGCGTCAGGAGAGACCCGAGCTGCCCGGGGTGGGACGGTGCAGTCAGCTCCAGCCACGGACTGGCCAAACCGGCAGATCCAGCCGACCCAGAGAGCTGTAACACCGGGTCAACCGGACGGTCCGCGTGCGGCCCCAACCGCACGCGACAGAACGCCGCTCGGTGGGGAGGGGAGGGGCAATGTGGGGAGAGGTGTGGCCCTGCAACGACCTTGGTAATTGATAAGAACTATTTCCCGAGTCCAGAGGTATTGATTTTAGAACAAAGCTGGTAAAAGTGACTGATCTGTCGTAATTATGCATGCACGTGAATGAGATGGCTGCGAACCGTGTGTATAGGTACTTTCTTATACATTACGCAATGCAGCGGTAATCCGTGGTCTGTCATAACGTTTCAGCATGAGTTCTGTAACTGGCATTTTTGAAGGGTGAAGTGAGAGTAAAGATGATCTCGACGCTCGACTGGTGACGTGCGTGTGAGTTGCGAGAAATACAATGCGGTTGGACATTTGGAATAAACGGGTTTAAGGATTTTCAGCCATGTGGGTATCACAGGCGTCGCTACGAAACAACTGATGTTCGAGGTCGGAAATGGGGCCGTAGGGTCAAATACTACGTCCTTAGCCTAGAATCTAGCGTTACCAGTGGTTGAACGTTGAAGTGTGCTTACCATTACCCCTCAGCCGATTTTTAAGCACGTGCGTAAAACTCTTGTCAGATCTGGCTTTGCTAAACTCGCAGAAATCGGCCAAGTTGTTCAAGTTCATGCTCGGTGTGTCACATCAGGGTTAGGCGTTTTCGATTCATTGCCTATGTCACCGACATCCCCAACCAAGATTACTTGTCAGTTGTCACCACTTGTCACCAACCACTCACAATTACGAAAAACTACATCGGTAACGGCCTCCTGTGCGAAATACCTTAGCGCTCAACTGAAGCAGCCACCACCCTCCTCAGTTAACACTCGCGTATCTCGTTATACCACCGTGTATTGCTGCGGCCGGCCGCCGAGGCAGCTGTTAGCGATCACCGCCGATCCATTCACGGACCTCCCCCCCCTCCCCATCCACCCGCGTGCTCCAACCAATCAGCAGAATAAGCTCCCGCCCGCGTATCGCGGCCGCTCCCGCCACCGCCCGCGCGCGGACACGCCGCCGCCAGCGCGCGCACCGCACGCCACCCGAAGCTAAGCTACGGCACAACAAAGCACGGCACGCTACCGCCGAACCCCGGACGTCACACACGTGACGTCACAGATACACACACAGACACACACACGGACACCGTCGCTGCGTCCACCGCGGCGACACTCGGTCGCTGAAAGCTCGGCGGTGGATCAGATCCCCGGTGACCTCAGGCACTGGACAGGCACAGACACAGACTCTGGCAGTGGACAGGCGCGCTAGCCGGCCTCCGCCGCATCGTCATCGTCATCGTCTTCGTCGACCACGCGCTTGCGGCGCTTCTTGGCGGGCCCGCGGCCGCGCCTGGGCCGGACCTCCTCATCGGGTTCGTCTGTGGAGGGCGGAGAAGGGTCAGACGACACTCGGATAGCTTGAGTCGAACTAGCCGGAGAGAGAAGGGTCATTTAGGACGGAAGAAGAAAATGAAGACCGCTGCGGAAGCATCAGGCGATAAGTGTCTCGGAATGACTTGACTGGCAATTCACAAGACCCGACAGAACCAGTCTCGGAAACATTGTATCCTGAAGAATGGTGCTATAACAGAGAAAACGCAGCCCCGCTTAAAAACTCCCCTGCATTCATGTTAGCAGTGACGTGCGATTTTTATTGCTACCAGACACTAAAGCCAACATACAGAGGAGTCGCCCCCAACCGCCTGCCCCTCCACTTCCTTCCCTAGTTACTGACTGACCTGCGTCAGCGCTGGGCGGCTGGGCGAGGTACTGGTCGGCCTGGCGTCTCGCCGAGTGGTACACCCGCTCCAAAACGATACTGTCCTCGTAGATCAGCGACGACTCCTCATTGTACTGCTGTGCGTTCTTACACATGAGCATAATGTCGCCGGCTAGATCATCCAGATCGCCGTACTGACGGCACAGGTCAGGGCAGGTCAGAGGTCAGGTCAGGGAAGGTCAGAGATCAGGTCAGGGGAGGTCAGATAAAATAATAAGTAAAATATTGGGGAACATAACATAGGTCAGGCCAGAGGGCATGCCAGATCGGAATTCAGAGGTCGGGTTATACATACAGGGTGTCCCATAAGTTCGTTCTCACCTAAATTTTACGTTTTTAGGCTCTCTTGCTTAAAGGCACGCTGAAGTTGGTTCGTTACTGAGCTTACGTGGTTGCCATGGCTGGTAGAAATATGCTCCACAATAACTAATTTCTGTAGACAAAATAATTTTTGCTAGAGAGCCCGTTTCCTACACAGACGGCTAACGCCGCAACATAGAGGTCTCCAATACGGGTACGTCTCGGTATTTAGTCAGCACGTGACCATTCGCGACGATTGAGGGTGATTGAGGCCTACCAGTCTGTAGACAATGTCCATCGCTAACTGGACGCACAGTCAGCAAGTGACACCGATGATTTGTCGGGAGTCAATCATTGTAAGTTTATCCTCTTTTTTGTCAGCTCTCAGGAGTGAGCCATGTGGCCAAAACTGTGTGGCGCCAAAGTGGCCATCAAAAAGGTCAAAGGGTTAGAAAGTTGGTAAGCAGACTTTTCAGGATGGATTACCAGCTGTTTAAGAGTGTTCTTTCGGGATACATAACTCAAGGTGACTTAAGCTTTGCTTACCGGAGGGCTCAAAACAGTCAAAAACGTCTTAAAATGGCCAAACATGAGTTTCGTTATGCCTGAGGCTAAAAAAACTAAAGGGCTGAGGACATCAACCAGGTCATCTGGACTAACTAGTCCACGTTCGAGATGAAACACCCGTCCAAACCCGAAAACAACCCCATAAGGGCGAAGGAGGAGGCCTCCGTTTCGTCCCGTTATGTTCCTATGCGAAAGGCCAAGGTCACGGTATTGTGGAGTTATAGGTGTCCAGACGCTGACCAGGTTGCGATTGGTGTCCCAGAAACAGCTTTGGGAAGCATAATGTTTTTCCAAGAACATCTAGGAGGAGTTTCAACCCTCAAGCTGAACTCGAACCGCGAGTATGAACACATTTATAGAGGAGAAAATGGCATCCGAGAGGTCGTAGGCCCATCTTCAGGCAAGACAGTGCATCAGTGCACAGGTCAAGCCAAGCTTAAAAGCGGTGCAAGGAGACTGTGACAGGCGTTTGTGGCAAGACCACATGCCAGGCACCTCATCGGATCAAAATTTCATAAAAATTTGTTGGTTATGCTGAAAATTAGGCTCGTCGAAGCGTAGCGCTGTTCCAGCCTCGAGGAGCTCACGGCGCATGTCAAGTCAGTCTGGGTTAACTTTAAGCCTGCTATGCAGCCAAACATGCCGGTTGGCATGCCGCAGCATGTGTTCATGTGTTTGCCTATTAAATGGGGAGCACATTGAGGGGTCACAAGTATATCAAAACGCAATGTACTCTGTTTCACATGCAAATATAATGTGAGAACGAACTTATGGGACACCCTGTAGACAATAGACAAGGGCAGGCCAGGGATCATAAGTCTCGGATCAGATAAGGTTGGGGGTAGATCAGATTAGGAGAGAGGTCAGTAGTTGAAAAGACGAGACAGTTTAGTCTTTGGGGAGGGTTACGGGTCAAAGGCTGACCAGAAACCGGGCCAGGTCAGGTCACACCACAATAAAGTACCGCAGACAAGTGAGAAAAAGCAAAGGGACTTGCTTTTTCAAAAGAAAAGAAATAAGCAAAAGCTTGCAAAAGAAAAAAGCAAATAAATTACTTTGAAACCGATGGATTTTAGTTTTTACCAATAGAAACAAAGGAGAACGCATTTCATGGATACCTTTAAAAAAGTCCTCTACTTATCCGAATGACCTTAAATTTTGCTCCACGAATGCTTTTCTAGAAAAAAAAAACTGGTTTCGCGAGTAAAAGTCGTTTGAGAGCACGCCAAACGAACACTGATGTTGAAAGCATCCACTATAGAAAGCAGCTTGGTGCGGAAGCAAAGCGCATGGTGTCAAATTTAACTACCTACTGACAAGCAAATGGGCTTCTATATTCCGACATCCACTTCCTTGCATCGACTCATGTGCAAACACTTGTAGTCAAGCCATCTCTCTTTCATCACCTTTCAGTGTCATGTCCGAGTCGTGTTACGACAAAAATACAATACCGATTGTGGAACTACACAACCATCATCAGGCGGGGATGCAAAACCACCGTCAATTAAATCATCCTACCGCAGTGAGACAACAATAATAATACCTCTCACTCTACCAGCACCCGAACTCCCACCGCAACCATCCAACCTCATACTAGAAACCCATCCCGCTTTCATACAGCTCTGGTACTCCGGTAGAGACATCCGAGCGGCCGCCGCGAGCGTGCCTGGCCTCCCAGATAATCCCGGGGCCTGCTCACATTGCATAAACAGCCCTCCACCGGCCGGGCCGGTGTGGCCACCGTGAGCACTGCTTCCTGGCAGAGCCACCCTGGGCCGGGCCGGGCCGGGTCGGGTCTGGTTCGACGGGTCTCCAACGCTGAGCGCCGGCCGCCGAGGCAGCCGGCCATCGAGAGCGACTCTGAACGCGCGCATGTAAATAAGGCTTAATATCCGGCTCAAGAGTTAGCGAAATCGATCGACAGCTAGCGAAACCGATCGCGTATTCCGAATGAAAGGTGAAGGCTTTTGAGAAAAGTGCCCAGGTGACATTTAAAATGCCGACGGATCCTAGATCTAGTTTGACAGGGTGTGTGATCCTTGGCTGAGCACTGACAGCCTACTAAAGAAGTTTCCACCACCAGGGCTTAACATATTGATATTCCACGTAACGAAAAGCACAGAATGACTAGGAAAAGCAGCGGCTGACAAGAGAAACATACCTTGCTCTCGTCAATTTTGTGCACGATTCTCCGCACGTCCATTGGTTTGCGGATGACCTCGTAGTAATCGGGTAGCTCCTTTCGAGAAGGCAGCTTGTAGAAAGGGTCGATCAACGCCCGGCCGTCATTCCTTGGGGAGAGAGAGAGCGGGTCGGGTCACAAATCTGATGTTAGATGTCAGGTCAGCTCAAACTAACGCGGTCAAAGATAAGTGGTTACTAAGTGATGCAACGGTGAGGAATGCGTATCTAGTCAATGTTAATTACAGCGCCCATTGTAAATGGTAACAGGTTTGCACGGACTGGACAGCAGCTGACTGGGATCTACTTTCATCAGACGCTAGCACTTCCTTTAGTGGTCTGTGAAAGTATTAGCGGTCAGATAAGATAGCAATCGACCAGAGCCTGGGTGTAGGCTGCTACCGAAATAAGTTTCCAACAAATTGCAGAGCTGTTGAAAGTTGACGGCAAAAATTACGCCGTTAATACTCGAAAAAACTATATCGTCGGCTGTTACCTATCTTACGACCTAATCAACGCATCATTGATCCCCCGAGACGATCAAACTCACGGGTCGGAGCAGTCGATTAGCGCCTGGATCAGCTTCCTCATCGCTTTGCGCATGCGCGGACTGACGACATGCACACCGCTGGGCCGTCCGCGCTTCTTCTTGGGCTTCTCCTCGTCGTCCTCTCTGGTCCTCTTCCGGCCGGGTCCCGAGGAGCGCGCGGCGCCGCCGCTGCGCCGACCCTTCCTCTTTCCCGTGTCCTCTTCCTCCTCCTCGTCCTCGAGTATCTCGTTACCGTCCTCATCCACCGCCTGGAGGCCAGAGACGACACGGAAGGTTATTAGGGTCCCAACTACCGACTGATGAAGGTCATGGTGATCCGCCGTACGCAACTGCACTGACCTACAGTACACGTGCATGCGTGTATAACTGAGTTACATGCTGTCTAAGCGAAGCCTATTTGCTTTCCTTTGTAGTTCTAGCTGTAGATGAAAATGCTTAAGACTTGTGTATGGTAATAATCAATTACATTGTTGCCCTAAGGCACAGCACCATTTAGTCTCAACCACTCTCTCGCCACATGTTCCAAAGCCCACAATCCACCAGCTCTCCGTCCTGCTCTGCGAGGGCAGCACTCACCCCGATGGCTCTCAGCCAGTTGCGGTCGTTGAGCTGGTCCGAGTAATCCACCGTCTTCCTGGCCCGACTCCCCCTGCCAAACAAATCCTCCTTGTCCTCCTCGGCGGTCAGCTCGTCCAACTCCGCCTCGTCCCTCACAAGCCAGTCCGGTAGTTCGCTCTCCTCAATCAGCCGCGGTTTGCGCGCCGTGCCCAGTTTGGCCTCCTCCCGGCGGCGCTCGAGGTCGAGCTGCTGGTAAATCTGCAGCTCCTCCTCGTTCCGAGCGATCATCTGGTTCACCGTCTCCTCGTCTGGGACTTCGTTCTCCTCCTGGGAGGGAGAGAAGAGAGAAGAGGTGAAGGTTATGGTTACGATTTTTGACCTCTGAACTCTGGTATAGCGTTGGTGAGCGCATGAGGAAGGTTACAGACCATTCTCCTACAAGACACGTACAGCAGAGTGCGAGGAGACCGTTGTCTCAAAACAAAACGCAACAGACATCCAGCCTACAGTCTGCCACATCCTGTGGCCAGCCAGGCTGTATTGTCCTATCTGCGCGTCTCAGCCACCAGAGCTGTCAGCTGGCTGGGCAGCAGGCTCTCCTACATTCTCGACAGTCATCGGTGCCGGACAGCGGGTCCACCTACCTCCTCGTCCACCTCCTCGTCCTGGAGGATGCTCTGCAGCATCTGACGCCGCTCGGTACCCGTCGACTTCTGATCGAACTTGCCCGCCTGGATCACCTTCTCGTCCATGTTCAGCTTGTACCTGACGACGGCGGCAGCAACAAGAGGGCGTTAGATTAACTAATCCAGATGACTCTAACCTCACCGCCAATAGTGAACAACAGCGATTGGAACGAAATATTGCATCCACTAAAGGCTCAAGAGTCGGATGCTGCACTTATCCAATGCCATTAGGTCAATCAAACTAATAATCACAAGAACAAATATCCGGGGCGGCCGCCACGATCACTCACTTGGCGGCGGCCAGGATGCGCTCTTCCACCGAGTTGACGGCCATGAGTCGGATGACGCGCACCTCGTTCTTCTGACCGATGCGGTGAGCGCGGTCCTGCGCCTGCAGATCCTGGTGCGGGTTCCAGTCCGAGTCGAAAATCACCACCGTGTCAGCCGTCTGGAGAACAGGGAAGCTGAGTGTGTCACGGCAAACTGCGAGTCTTACAGAGCAGGGAAGACGCAAACATCTAAAACAAAAAAGGACTCTATATACGCACATGATGTTCCAATCGCAGTGAACACTAGCTATATATCATCTTTTATTACGGTGTTTCAGTAATATGTAGGGTTTATTCTGTTCGCAAAAGTATAGCTTTGGTAAAAAGAATACTCCACATTTAAAGCACCGATCAACCGGTCGACTGGCCTTTCACGTCTCGACTCCCCAAAGATCACCGATTCCCACACAAACCTGCAGGTTGAGTCCCAGTCCTCCGGCTCTCGTGGACAGCATGAAGAGGAAGTACTCCGAGTCGGGCTGGTTGAAGGCCCGCAGCAGTTCGCCGCGCTCCTCCGCCTTGGTGGTTCCGTCCAGTCGCAGGTACCTGAAGGAGTGACGTCAAAGGTACCATGAACAACAACAGCACAGCATCGCAGCTGCCAGCCGTAGTCTGAACTTGATACAATATTCGGGTCTGTCAGCACTTACGAAGGACAGACGGAATCCAGACTGTCGTATACTAGCCAGACCATCTTAAACAAAGCAGCCAAACATAAATTACTATACTGTCGTAACATACGTTACATTACGTGGATTCAGAGAAGCATTCCAGTTGCACCAATACTCCTCAGTTCAGGGGTTCAACAAAGACAGCCTGAACACTGACTTGTATCCCTTGTAGTTGAGGTAGTCCTCCATGATGGCCATCAGCTGCGTCATCTGACAGAAGAGCAGCACCCGGTGGCCGCAGTGCTTCAGCTTGGGCAGGATCCGGTCCAGCAGCTCGAACTTGCCCGACGCACGGTACAGGTCAGGGCTGTAGGGAAGACAGCGGTTACAAACCGAGCCGATCGCTGTAGGGTAGACAACTGTGAGGTTGATATTACACCTAGTCGGGGAGACAAAGTTAGCAACAAAACAGCGGGGAAAACAATAAAAGCGTGTTCGCAGGATCACAGCGAAGTTACCCTCGTACATGCCACGACCCAACATCGGCTGTACCACCCGCAGCTCTACCCTGAACGTCTCCCTCTTTGTGCCACCCTTCGCCACGATTACTCACCCGGTGACCACGTTACCGGTGAAGCCGTGGTACTTGCAGTGCGCCTCCTCAATGTGCTGGAACATGAACGGATGGTTGCACAGCTTCCTCAGCTGCATGATTGTGTTCATGAGCGCCTTGGATCCGCCGCGGCCGCCTCCGCTGGCCTTCCCCTCGGTCAACATGATGCCCTTGTTCTGCATATGTCGGTAGAGCAGGCGCTGCATCGCAGACATCTCGCACTTGATGATGTACTCCACCTGAAACGTAGGCGAGGGACGTAACCATAGGCGTTACTGCGAAGACCGGCCACAAAGAAGCCCAAAAGCCGTTCAAATAAAGACACTGTACCCGCTTTTATTCATGTTTCGTAGGTGCGTAGCTGAATGCAGCTAGGTCTGCGGTGTTTGACCGTTTATATAGCGATTGGAACATGACATTGCTATGTTATGCAGTAACAAAACTTATAAACTTCACTCATCCTCCACTAACTATAAATTATATCTTAGCTAAGTTACCATATCTAACAGACAGCACCAGCCGTACCTTGTCGGGGAGCTGTGATTCGACCTCCTTCTTGAGCCGGCGGAGCAGGAACGGCCGGAGCACCTTGTGCAGACGGCGGATGATGAGAATCGTCTCCTCTTCGTTCAGCTCCACCTGCGGCCGAAAATACGGAATTAATGGCCAAGTAAAGTCACCCTAGACAGAGGGACAGGGTGGTTCCACCAACACTCTGGGCCTAAGCCAAAACAAACACCCAGCAGGTGCCGGCAAACATGGTCGCGTCAAAATGCCAAAAACTGGTGCCATCTCGAAACACGTTTGCCTCATCTTACAACCGAAATTCACACGAATCTCGTCTTTTGACTACACACCTAACATCAGCATGACGGGTGCTCGATTAGCGACCTGAGAAACAGGCGACAAACAAGCGGGCGGCAGACCAAGACCCACCTTCTCTCCGGTCGTGGCAAACGGCGCGTTGAACCACTGCTCAAACGTAGACACCGCCTTGAAGATGGACGGCAGCAGGAAGTTCAGCAGCGACCACAGCTCAGGCAGCTTGTTCTGCAGCGGCGTGCCCGTCAGTAGCAGCCGATGCGGCGCGTTGTACGACGTGTTCAGCACGAACGTCAGCTTGCAGTGGTGGTTCTTCATGCGGTGACCCTCGTCGATGATCATGTACTTCCATCGGCTCTGAGGGTGCGCGTCACAAAGTTCCGTTAGCACCGCTGATTGGGACGCATGCTAATACCTTATCGCAAAAATACTTTCAGCAAATTTCATCAAAGCTAACGTCAAACCACTGACACACCTACAAACCCAGAGAGTAAATCCGAACCGCTAACCACCCAAACATCAAAATATCAGCAGCGATCCAACCACTAACCTTGGAGAGCGCCGCCTTGTCTCTGATGATGTACTCGTAGGTAGTGAGCAGCACGTTAAACTTGGACGCGCGCATCTGGTTCTGAATGTGCCGCCGAGCGGCCGGTGAGCCCTTGTAGGCCACCACGCGCACCGAGGGCGCCCACTTCTCGAACTCGAGCACCCAGTTGGAGAGGGTGGACAGCGGTAGAATGATGAGGTACGGCCCATTCACCTTCTTCTTCTCCATTAGGTAGGTGACGAGCGCGATCGTTTGGATCGTCTTGCCTAAACCCATCTCGTCAGCCAGAATGCCTGTTGACGGCGGGGGTTGGTTGTGTTGTATGTGGTGGGAAAGGGTGGCTGCTTTGAGCTGTGCATTGTGCAAATGGTGGGCCGTGGATGAATTGTGCCGCTAATGGGAGCCAAATATTGCTGAAGGCAGGACAGGTGCAGAAACAAGCCCCAGAGAGGCAAATCGTAATGATTTCACGACGTCAAAAACGGATGTGAGAGGTGAAGATACATAAAATCACATCTAGCAATCGTGAAAGACATTGGAGTACAAGGCTGGGGACAAACATGATTTTCATGAAAAGCAGCCCACGTGAAAGTGATGTATATACAAACAATCATCCAACAAGCCAGCAAAAATAAAACTAACACCAAAGTCAGTACAAAGCTGGATTTTCTGCACTTAAAAACGAAATTAGGTGGGTGCGTTGCAAACAACACTGACACAACAATAGCGACACCACACAGTTGCTTTTAATCACAGCAAAGGTAACCCAACAGGCCATTGAAGCCAGTCGGTCACCTCTGCCGCGAGCATACCATTCAGGTTATTGTTGTAGAGTGAGACCAGCCACTCTAGACCCTTGATCTGGTACTCCTTGAGTTTTCCATTGACCATGATGGAAGCCTGTTCGGTGACCGTTTCATGAATGGCGTGCGCGATACTGGTGAAAGACAGAGCACCCGTGTGAGCGACAGAGAGTCGGAGAGAGAGGGACGGAGGGAGCGCGCCGGCGGCCGCCACATGCACCCGCAACGTACTACAGAGCCGGAGAGACAGACTGAAAAACTGACAGATGAAATGAGACAGAGTAGCTCAGCGAACGGAACACATGCTACTCTCTGAGAGAATGGCAAACTCACTACGGGTCCAGAGAGATCGAGTCCAGCAATCGATAACCAAAGAGAGAACCACTGGGAGGTGACAATGCATCGCTCTCGTTCGGGGTCTATCTCGCCGCACTACGGTCGTTTCGGACATTACCGGGACCGGGGAGGGGTACAGGGGCGGGGCGGGACAGGGGGTGGGTCTGGCCGTACCTGTAGTAGTTGGCCTCCCCCTCAGCCTTTTTATACTCGTCGTCGACGGCGTGGGTCTTGACGGTGGTCTCGCTCGTCCCCTCTCCTCCGTCCTTCTCCCCCTCTTCTCCAGCCTTTTCTTCCTCCGTGGCTCCTTCCTCTCCGGCTTCCTCATCATCGTCCAGGTTCTGGTCGGGCACCACGTCCCAGCCCGGGTGGGCCGCCAGCCAGGCCTGAGAGCATACAGGAAAACGTTATAAAGGAGCCCAGCATGACCAAGCCCGGGTGGGCCGCCAGCCACGCCTGGCAGCAATTACACACGTCAGTCAAACGACACAACACGGCTCACCACGTCCCAGCCGGGGTAGGCCGCCAGCCAGGCCTGAAGGCACGGCAAACATTACAACAGGGCCCATCATGATCTAACCCGTCCCAGCCCGGGCGGGTCGCCAGCCAGATCTGAAGACATGCTAAACGTTTAACACAATCCAGCCCGTGCCACGCGTCAGCTAGGCTGAGCCACTATTCACATCCTGATGGGGAGACAAGGGTCGAAAAGCGGCACTCAGAATATTGCACAGCAGCTGGTGCGCTTGAAATCAACGACACAGCCTAGTTGCACCCCCATTAGCTCACCTGTAGCTCGTGAGCCAGCGGCGCCTGCTCTCCGGCCAGCGTCAGGCCGCTCTCCGTGTTGGTGACGATGACCCTCTGTTGGCTGGGGTCCCCCTCGGTACGGGCCCGGGCGTGCTCTAGTTTCTTACGGCGCAGCTCCGCCTGGAACAGGAAGTTCACATGGGGGTGGGCTCGGTCAGAGAAGATGCACGATGAAGCATAGCACACGGCGGGCTTAAGCAAAAGTTTAACGCCAAGGTTGATTCCCGATTTAGATTTATAAATTACTCCACCAAAACTATTAGTCTATTACAAAAATATTTACTTATCTAGCCGATAGGTTGTTCTCCTCCAGCTATGCAGTCATTTTTCTTCTCCGTCTATTCCATATTCTCGCGAGAATCTTTAAACACGAAAAAAATAACTTCCCTACCTGAATATTGAGCGCCAAATCACAACCAAATTCAGCAGTCACCACGGGAAACAGCTGAATCATTCAGCAGCTATCGGCTTACCTTGTGCTGTTTGACCATCTCTGTGAGGTTGGCGATGTACTCGTCTGTCTGCTGCAGCAGCAGCGCCAGCCGTTTGTCCTTCTTCTGGTCGATCAGCTTGCGGTAGCCCTCCTCGTCCTCAGCCATCAGGCGGCGCATGCGCTCCTTCTCGATGCGCTCCTGCTCCTTCTGTTTCTCGCGCTCCGTGTTGGCGTGGTGTACCTGCACGGCGCGGTTCAGCTTCTGTAGTCGCAGCTGGCCGGCCTTGTGGAACTCGCGCAGCTCCTTGCCGTGCTGCAGCACCGCAGCCAGGTACTCCTGTGCAGGGGAGAGTGGTTGCAAGGTCAGAAATACTTACTAAAACCATGGTAATGAAGCCAGAAAATGAGCACGTTGCTTAAATAATGACTAACTTCTGTTGCCTGTATGACAGAGACCACCCAGTATCCTACCAATCATAATTTGGTAACGTGAAACGTCAACCTCTACAACGCTCGGACGCCGACGAGTCTGTTACTCACCATGTGTTTCTGCCGCTTTTTCTTCTCGGCCTCATATCGCTGTTGCTTCTCCAGTTTCTCCGTGATGCGGGCCTCACGCAGGCCCTGGCGCTTCTTACGTTTGTAGGCAGTCAGATTTGTGGCAGTTTCCAGAGTGGCGTCGCGTCGGGTCATCTCCAGTACCTGAGCGGAGGTCAGAGTGGTAGAGGTCATTGGAAGCCACGAAATTTCTTCAAGCTGGCGAAAGCAGCCATCTCAGATGTAATAGAAGGCCGAAATACGATAAACTCGCATATGTGTAAAGAGTTTCGGAGGCCGGTTAGCATGTTTTGTCGAACCGTGAAACTACAATCCAAATCTAGCTAATGCATAACATCGTGAGGGATGATCATCCACTGACGATAGTCAACCGACAACGTACACAGCTGCTCCTTGGCGAGTTAGCAAACCCAACAATACAGTTAACCCTTTTCCTGTCTCCTGCCGCGACCCGTACCTCCTGTCGGAGCTGTCTCTGGAAGTTTAGCAGCCGCAGCGCACGCAGCTCGATCTGAGAGCGCATGCGCACATCATCCGGCAGTTGTTCGCCGGGCAGCAGGCTCAGCTGGTTAATACGTAGGGAGATGCGCTCGGCCAGGCGAGTCTCCCGCTCGTCTAGTAGAAGTAGAGGGTCCAGGCCGCTAGGACGACGCACGGGGGTCACCTGAAGGGGCGGCACGGGGTCAAGACTGGGAGACGCCGAAGACGCAGAAATGCCGCAGCTGAAGAAAGCGAACGCTCAGGAGCGTGTAGGAAAGCGGTAACCAAATTGTTAATAACAGAAGAAGGGGAGGAAATGGCGACGGCTTGTAAAAATCGTGAGAAAGCGAGACCGTGTCACAACTGAATTGCCGACTGCTAGCGGCTTTGGATGACATCGTTCCTGTACTCTATTTTTGATACATTTTAGTAGATCTATTTTCAACATAATACACAAATGTCTTCAGAGAGGACAAGTACACGGACGCGGTGTCTAGTCGTTTCAATCACTGTAAACTCGACACTGAAGAAGTCCCGTGCTCACCCGGTTCTGTTTGAGCGGCTGCATGGCTCCGTGCGGCTGGGGCTGGGCCGGCGGCGGTACCTGGGCCGGCCCTGCTGCAGGGACAGCGGCAGCCGCGGGCCCGGCCGGCCCGGCGGGCGGTCCCTGAGCGCGCGGCACGGCACCGGGAGACGGAGCGGCGGGCGGCGCCGGCGGAGGTCCGCCAGCCGCGGCCGGCGGGGCGGTCAGCGGAGGGCCGGACGGCCGCGACACAGCCGCCCCCGCCGCCGGTCGGCCGCCACCGTACACACCCAGCTGGGGAGGAGTCTGTGGAGGAGCCGCCGGCCGCTGTGGAGACGGCTGCTCGGCCTGACGCTTTCCTGGATGGCAGACATGGTCTGGAGTGAGATCAATGTGCGTGGAACAATCCAAAAATCATTGTGAAAAAAAAATAAAAAAATGTCACAGAATAGTAGCAAAACCAAGACGGAGTTGGGTCTGCGTAATACGCAATGCTTATGACAGGACCATGCTAGAATACACTGCATTACACATGATATCAGCAGAAAGCAGAAGATGTATTATTGATAAAAATAATTCAGACAGTGCAACTTACAAAAATACCAAACACGCTGCACATCCCTAGTCCCTCATCACCACCCCTCCCACTCCGGTCGCCACCTCACCTGCGATGGCCAGGTTCAGGTAGTTGCTCGGTATCGGCTGGTTACAGAGCAGCAGTCGGTACGCCATGATCTGTGCCTTCAGCTGCTGCAGCTGCGGCTGCTGGAACACGCTGGCTGAGGCGCGGTCCGGCCCCGGGGACGGCCGGCCGTCTCCCGTCGCGGCGGCGGCCGGCGGCGGCGCCCGGTACCCGTTGGGCGACTGCTGGGCGGCCTGAGGCGGCTGCTGCTGGGGCTGCTGACCCATCTGAGGCGCGGGCTGATGCTGCTGGTGCTGAGACATTGCCTGCTGAGCCATTGGCTGCTGTTGTGACATGGATTGTTGTGAGATGGGTTGTTGTTGTGACATGATGGGTTGTTGTGACATTGATACAGCCTGCTGGGGCATGCTGTGTTGGACCATGGTCTGGTGTTGTGACGTCGGCAGTTGAGACATCGGCTGCTGTTGTGACATTGACGGCATCTGCTGCTGTGGCAGGGACTGCTGCTGATGCTGCTGGTGATGCTGCATGTGTTGTGACATCTGCTGTGGGCTCATGTGCTGCTGCTGCTGCTGTTGCTGATGTTGCTGTCAACAAAACAAAAAATGAGAGTCAGCTCCGCGCAGCACAAATGCATGATCAATATACCTACACATGATCACTTGCAGCTTTTCAGTGACCCTGCGACAGCCCCAGCCTCCCTCATCAGCCTCGGCAGTTTTTTTCATTTCTCAGTGGTCCCACTAACAGTCTCTGCTACCTCCCAGCAAACCCCTCGTCAGTCTGTCGCCGCCTCAAGGACCCAGAGCGTGCCTACCTGGCTCTGCAGCTGCTTTGCACGCATGGCCAGCAGCTGTGCGTAGTGCGGGTCCTCCTGCAGTCCCCGCTCCTCCATGTTAGTAATAGCCGCGTGCAGGGCGCCCAGGCTGTACTCCCCGGGCGCGGCCTGCTCCTGGTCGGTCTGACTGGCCGGTGGACCGGCCGGTGGAGCTGCCGGCCGGCCCGGCGCGAAGTGCTGTCCGCCCGAGTAGTGGTGGGTGGGGCCGGCCGGCGCCGGCAGGTGCGGCAGGCTGGTGGCCGGGGCTGCCGGCGGGGTCATCCCGGCCGACTGGTGGTGCGCGCCCGGTCCAGACGGGTGCAGGGAGTGAGCCGGGTCACCGCCCGGGGACAAGTGCTGGGACAGGCCGGCCGGCGACGGGTGCTGCAGGCTGCCGTAACCGCCGTCTGGAAACGGATACATACATGTACAAAATATTCCAACACGAGCGACATGCAAAGAGCTTTCAATGTTTAAAGACCAGCAAGCGCGCATTTTATTTAAAGACTATCGCTTTAATTAGCAAACCAGCCATAACAAAAATCTGAAGGAATTATCTACAAAAGAAATACAAACGAGATCGAATAAGAATGCTTTAGGACGACAGTGAATATTATCATGTATTTTTACGTAAGAATTGGCCCGGCAATCCGACCATGCTTACCAGAGCCTTGCTGAAATCCTCCGGTTTGCTGCTGCTGCTGCTGCTGGGCCATCTGCCAGTGGTGCTGCTGGCTGGCCATGCTCGGGTACTGCTGGGCCAGCGGCGGCCCGGGCCCGGCCTGGTGCTGTATGCCCCGGGGCAGACCGACGCCGTGCGGGGTGGGCACGACCCCGGACGGCGAGACTGAGGATCGCTGGTCGGACATCACCGACGGTCACTCTGCCAGAGTCACGGGAAGAAGCGGGAGTCAATAAACCAGCCAGTCACAGGAGAGGCGGGAATTACCTACTAAATCTTCCAGTCATGGGAGAGGAGGGAGAAGTAATAAATCTGGGGCATCCTTTTGATGTACCTATTCCCTGAAAATTTCAGTTTTCAGTTTTCTCAGGTCAGGTCACCAGGTCACAAAAATCGGTGCAAGGTCAGGGTACAATTGGACAGTTGGAGGACTGAATCAGTATTCTGTAATCAGCCTGGCGACTCATGCATCATTCAAATGTCAAATTCATTATTTAAATAAATCAAATTGTTTGTTGGCTACTTGTTGTGAGGGCTGTTCTGTTCGGCTGCGCAGCCAAAATGAAATATGCTGCAGCACGCATGTGCAGTGAGGGCTATGTCGCCCGTTAGTCCCGCCCACATCATTGCGTCATCGTCTGTGTGACGTCACCTACTGAAGGCAAAGCATACCTACTTCTTGTTCCTGCAGGCTGAAATTTGGTGCTGCAGGAGATGAAAGTCGCGCGGATGAAAGTTTATCACCAAATATTTCTTATTGTAAGTGGTTTCTATGCTTTTTTGGGCATCATTATAACTCTTTTCAGTGGCACATTGCTATTTACCACATTTGAACCCAATTTAACTGTAATTTGAGCCACAATCACCAGTCCAGTCCACCCGTGTAACGGTTCACTACAGGTGGAATAGGCAGCAGCAACGCTTGCGGCTTGGCCGTAGTGTGCCAGCTGAGAGTGGGCGGAGCCAGGTGGCTGACATTACTCAAGTATGATGCACGCGGCACAGATCTATGCTCAGCTTCAAGGACCCGAACAGCCCTGTGTAGTTGGAAGGGCTCAGGCTGTGTTTCACATGTATTTGGTGTGAAATTAATTGACAATAATAACTATTATTACTGGAGGTGAGCCATTTTCAAATAAACAATATTTGAAATTGGGTTGGAGGCCAAAGGGGCGGGAGCAAACAAGCGGGGCGGGGGGCAGGACCTTCAGAAGTTATTTCCTTTAAGATCAAGATTCAAGAACGGACATGAAAAGGTGTAATCAGCAGTTTTTCACCATAACAACTATTAAACAACTATTACAGCATCAACTAAATCCTTTTTATGAACAATCAAACACTCCATTCCGACCATTCCCAAATAATGTTTACGGCACGCGACAACTTACTACGCAATCCGTGAATTTTTCAGCGTGAAGTTCTTGTTCTTTTCTTGGATGTTTCATGCACATAGCGCGCTAGCATGAAATTAATGACATTTGATTTGCTGTAGGCCTCTGTCAGCAGCACCCAGTGTTTAATCTATTATTTTCGAACAAAAATTGAAAGTTATATGTCTCTTAGCCATGTATGACGCACATGCTTCAAAATATGAATGGATGCAGCTACTAAATTGTAAGCGATATTTTACAAAAAGTTTACGCGCGAAAGATCTTCATTCTTATCGCAGGGAGAAGGGACGTTTGACACGTGGATTTATATAGCTTCGTCTGACAGATCAAGATTTGTGGAGTTATCTTGAACTTTTTCACCGTAATTACCGTAATTACGTAATTTGAGGAAATACCAAGATATACAATCGTGATGAATTCAGCGGGAAGGCGAACGAGAAAAGATTCAGGCTCAGGAGACAAGTAAGATATTAATATAATTTTGTTTATATCAATATAGGTAATAGGTATATTTTCCTAATACTCTTTAAGCTGATGGCTTGATGATAAGTGATATTTTACTTGTTAAAGGACAAGCATCGTATCAACAGTACCTAGTCTTACCTAGCAAATTGACTGGAAGGCTACCTACATTTTCAGGCTTGCAGGATCTTGATCTATAACAATTTTAAAACATTGTTGAATGTGGATCATAGCTTAGCTAGACATTTAAAAAAACCAAGAAAATTTTGTAAAAGTTGCATGTGCCAGAGGATTGAATAAATATGTGTTGAAATCTACTCGGCTTCAGAGTTTAGAGGGCCTGCATTCATTGATTGAAATAAGCTCAAAATTTTATAGGTAGGTTTCAACTTTCCAGCATGTAAGAAAGCATCAGCTAACATTTTTTTGTGGTGTGACAAATGCACTTATTCCACCAGTTCCTCTAGAACGATGAGGACTCGCCAGGATTCCACCATTAAAGACATCAATGGAGTACTTTCTGTCCGCTTTTTGGATGATGCTGATGCTTTGGAGAAGATATGCTGCATCTCCAAAACTGCACCAAAAATGTCTCGTGTGGGCGAACTGCTGCGGAATTCACAGCACCTTATAAGCCACCGTGCTGAAACACCAATGTCAGTGGCAGACCCTGACTCCGAGTCTGAGCCAGAAAGTCCTCCTGCACAGCCAAACGCAGCGCTCACGGAGCTGAATTCGGCGCAGCTGGAGGTCGAGGACACTGTCCGCGGAACGGCCGTGTTCGGATTCCAGAGGTGCCACCGACGCTCTCACTTGCGCCGCGTGGCAGAAGAGTTTGCACAAAAGTCGCCGGTGAAGACGTCTGCGGTAGACATCAAGTTGCCGGGCACCCCCAGACGCGGCTGCTCCGGTCTGCCGGCTTCCATCGGCAGCGGCCGACGGGGAGGCCGGCGGCCCGTCTCCAGGACCGTTGACGATCGAAATCGATCCCGATCTCGATCCCGATCTCCGCCACCAGCTCGTTCACGATCCAGATCTAAGTCGCGGTCCCGTTCACGCTCTCCGCCTCCGCCGCAGCGAAACGGCAGGACACCCTCCACGCCCAAATCGGCGGCGGGGAGGACGCCTCAGACGCCGCGAGGCCGGGCGTCAGCCGCCCTGCCGACCAAGACGCCGCAGACAGTACGGCGAAAGGTGAAGCTGCGCCTCTCCAAGCTGAAGCAGGAGGACATCGCCGTATCGGATGATGACGACGACAGTGACGTCTCGCCACTCGAGGATTCCTCGGAGGACGAATACAAGGCGCCGCTGGAGGAAGAGGAGGACGATGATGAAGAGTCCGAGGAAGAAGATGAAGAAGGAGAAGAGGAAGAACAGACGAGCACAGTGCCGCCGGCAGCGGTCCGAGGCCGTGGGGGCGCTCCCCGCCGCCGGCCGGAGCTGGAACCGGCCGCAGTCAGCGCCGAGGATTACTTCTCTCTGCACAGCGCCGGCGGGCCGACGTCCAACCACACACTGAGCCGGCTGTCGGAGCCGCGACTAAGCGGCGCCGCTCTGCGCGCGTTATTGGACGCCCGGCCGACCGACCACGCCGCCGAGCGGGCCGCTCTGCTCACCGACCTCGAGATCATGTTCCCCCACTGGTTGGCCGCGGTCAGTCACGGCTTCAACATCCTTCTGCACGGTCTCGGCAGCAAGCGCGACGTACTGGAGCGGCTGCGGCGACAGCACCTGCGCGAGCGGCTGCACATGGTGGTGAGCGGCTACCACCCGAGTGTGACGCCGCGCCAGCTGCTGCTCACCCTGCTGGAGGAGGCGCTGGACGTGCCGGCGCCGCCCTCCAAGCTGGAGGCCCAGCTGGAGGCAGTGGAGCGGCGACTGGCGGCGCCCGGTGCGCCTGCCCTGTTTCTGCTGGTGCACAGTATCGACGGCCCGATGATGCGCGCGGAGAAGATGCAGTACGTGCTGGCTCGACTGGCGCAGCTGCCGAGGGTCCACCTGCTGGCCTCCGCGGATCACATCAACTCGCCGCTGGTCTGGGACCAGCACAAGCTGGCCCAGTTCAACTTCCTCTGGTGAGTGCTGGATGGTGACATTTTTTTTCGACAAATATTTCGCTGAGGAAAATCATAAATAAATTGTTAGACTTCGGCAACTTTTCCTGATTTCCCGGGTGGGACACCATTATATGTAGTAGTACCTAGCATCGTGATCGTCGTGTGCTGTGTAATGTGTATCCTGTCATTATGCATTGTCCATTTTCTCATCGATGAGCTATTATCAGCCAAGTAGGTAACTTATCACTGTTACGTATCGATCGTGCCACTGAGATGCTTTCGATCGTCATATCCCGTCGCTAACTGGTCATTCCTAAAAAAATTATTTTGGCAGCCGAACGGCGAACTTCCACATTGTGACTTATGCCCCATTCTGCCCAGGTTTGACGCCACCACGCTGCTTCCCTACACGGAGGAGACTTCATACGAGAACTCGCTGCTGGTGCGGCAGACGGCCGACCTGGCGCTCTCCTCCCTGCGACACGTCTTCAAGTCGCTCACACCCAACGCGCGAGGCATCTTCATACTGCTCGCCAAAAACCAGGTCAGAACATGGCAAACCTTTCTTGTCTCGGCTGGAAGCATTGAGAAATAGTCGAATTTTACTTCGCACGAAGCTAGCACGAATCTGGGCCAGTGGCGTGCATTTTGTGTCTCGTTTAACCGCATCTTATTCACGCTCAATCCATTTCACTTCAATCTACCGTCTACTGTCTATTGATCTTCAAGCACTGTCTACCATTCAGTCCTGTTCGCCGTCCCCCCCCCCCCCACTTCTTCCCTATCTATTGCATCCCCAGCTCATATTCACCCCCCCCCCCCGTCTGATCAACAGGTGGAGCGGGCCAGCGACAAGACGTTTGACGGCATGCCACTCTCGGAGCTGTACCAGCGGTGTCGGGACGCGTTCCTCGTCAGCTCTCAGGTGGCGCTGCGCGCGCAGCTGACAGAGTTCCGCGATCACAAACTGATCCGCACTCGTCAGTCCCATGACGGCGTGGAGCAGCTGACGGTGCCTCTGGAGGCGGCACTCATATCAGAGTTCCTGGCGAGCTGTGAGGACAGCTAGCTAGGAGAGGGGAGACCGGGGAAGTTGTTTGGCCGAGGAGTTCAGAGCTCAGTAGCCCTGGAAGTCATAGGAGCTCGTTATACGGGTCCGACGCTCAGGATAACTGGCTGATGTGGGCCTGTTGCGTAGGACAGCTGTGATGTACTTTTGTGGATCTGAGGATGAAGTCACACTGCATAGCTGAGAGCCTTCCTTGCTAGCGAGTTCAAATTCAGTTGCCAAACTCAGTGTTGGGCGTGTGGACAAGTTGATGCGCGGTCGCCTGCCGGGCGTTGTTCCTTGTCGAGTGCTCAGTCAGTGTCCGACTTGTTAGTCGAGAACTTTTCCAAGTATGTGATGTTTTTCTGCCATGTTCTTGGTAAATACATATGCTGTGATTTTTGTAGCTGATCTTTTAACGCGTTTGTTTTTCTCAGACAATTCCTACCCTCCATATTTACAACTTTAAATTTCTTGAGTGCGACAAAGCGCATTACAATGCAAATGTATGATATATCACCGCAACTGCTGAACACCTTGCTGCCCGCACCGCATGTGTCAGGGATTTGGCTGATGTGGCTAAACACCAACAGCCTATAACTGCATGCTTTCCAAGATCTCCCTTTGTTGTTACCAACATTCGTATATCTGACGGCCAGCGAAACATACAAAGACTTTGTCATCGTCACGTGCATTTCCATTTTACCCTTATCCGATATGAGGCTCACACAAAATACACAGCAAACCGATACCCTCATTTACCGCACCAGATGACTGGCGCATATTGGCACCTATAATAATCAAAATATGTCGAAACGGGCAAGCATTCGGGCACAGCCGGGTTCGGTTGCATGGCACGCAGGTTGCGTACGATCCTAGGGTGGTAAGTACAAAGTTGTTTTGCCTATATTTTTCCAAGGCTTTAGAGGTAACAAGACTGAACACTTACAGACTACTGGGGGAAGAAAACCGGGTTCAGGTTATGCGCTTTTACAATACCGAGAGACTCCTAAACTGTCGTATCAAAACACATCCACATACAACGCACGCGTAGATACATTGACCCCACTTTCACAGTCAATCAAAATAGAACTGTATACAACGGCACTGCCACAGCCTGTGGTAAAACGCACACTCGCACACATTACAAAACACGCACCAAACACGGATAGCAAAACACGCACCAAACACGCATAACCAAACACGCCTCGTTCATCCTGAGATGTGGGAGCGGCGGGTCGGTCTCGGATGGACCTATCTTCTCCGCTCGATCCTTTCTGCCGCCTCGCTCACGTTCGCGCCTCCAAAGTCGACTAACCAAGGAGAGGTAGTGACCGGCCGGCTATACCGCTGAAACTGAGCAGAAAGGCGTCAATACTCACAGGGATCTACGCTCTGGGATGGGAGGTGTCTGCCCCAATAAGTCAGGTTTGCCCAAGAAACCCGTGTTGCCTTGTGCCCCCATGGCTGCTGAGTGCTAGTACATGACCTAATTTACTCGTTGCTAATGCTATGCCTCCATATCCCACTATTGCATGCCCTAAGTTTATAGACCCGTACCCTCGTGCCGAAAACCCCGGCGCGAGCGACTTGCGAGCGTCATTTGAGGAAACCATTTTAAGCGTCAGTCATTTCGGTGATTATCAATTTGAACGATCATCAAATTTAGCGGATTATCAAATTTAGCGAATATCAATGTGACCGAAAGCACCATGACCCCGTTATCCGCGCCAACTCACAGTCGGTCGGTGAGGGGCCGCCCACCGCGCGCTGGATGGCGTCCACCGTCTTGGGACACTCCTCGGAGAGCACCTCGCAGCCCGTCTCCGTGATGAGGATGTCGTCCTCGATGCGGAAGCCCATGCCGCGGAACTCCTCCGGACTGCTCGTGTCGGCCGCCGGGATATACAGACCTATCACAAAAGGGGAGGGGAGGGGAGCTTAGTCAATAACAATTTGGGAGAGGGGAGCATTGCCGCTGTGACGGAGAAACGAATCTAAAAACGGATCTAAACTATCGAAATATGGAAGTACCAAGCATGCTACAAATATGCTCGCAACGTCCTTGCGTATTACCGTATACCACGCTAGGCTATGCGGCATTCGCTTTAAAAAAGGAAGTCACTCAAAAGCAAAAAAATCCCAGCCTTCTTTGAAATAGTGACTAAACCCGCGCCCCGTAGGGCTACCGGCGGACCCTATCACCCGTAGGGGGGGGGGCATTTCGGCCCCCCTAAGATCTCGGAAATTTACCGGCCGATTTTCAAAATTCAAACGGCGTTCGATAGCCCCACCAGGGAACTACCTTGTGACCAAATTTCATTGACCTAGGTCAAACCGATGACGTCACAGGTCAGGTCAAAGGTCGGATTTTCACCGTTCACAGGCATTTCAAGAAATGTGTTGTGAAATCGAGTAAATTAGTAAGGTTTTGAGAACCATCGATGGTACATTGTTCGTCAAACATATACTTCGCTATCTGAGGTCACTGATATCAGGTCAGGTCACAGAGGTCCAGGTCACTGGTCACCTGGGGGTCACAATATGAAAGTGTCGTGTGATACATGTTTTATGGTTCATTTTACATGACAAATGCGATTATGTGGGTCAGGCAGCCTTTGGGGCCAGCTTAGGTCGTTTTGGTGAAGGTCAGGTCAAGGTCAGGTCAAATTAGGTCAAATTTCAAAGTTGATATTTTGCATAAAATGGGTATCGATTCGATGCAGCTCGTCACGGGGAGTCCAATGGTGGTCTTTGTTTTGCCCTACGGTGTCTAGAATTGACAAAAATTGAGTTTGAAAATTTGACGTCATCATTTTTGAACAGTTTTTTCGCTATAACTTGGCCAAAAACGAGATATCGATCTGAAATTTGGTATGTAGATAGAAGACAGTAGGTACTATCACATATATTCCGGTTTTTTTTTTTCGAAACTCCAAAAAGTTTTTGGATTTTTAGCTAATATTTCCAAAAAATTACTTTTTTATTTTTGGGGGTCAAAACTCAAAAATTTCAAAAATCCGAGATAGCAGTTTTGTAGCCCTGTCAATTCTACACTTTTTATGTCAGATCATTTTTCTGTATTTTCAAAGCTGTAGGCCTGACAGCTCTTCTCGCGAAGGTCTTTTTTCGGTCGAAAATAACAGAACATGACGTCATTCTGACGTCATTTGTGGCCAACCTATCATAGCCTCTGGAAATATTTTTGGTCACAATGTGTAAAATTGATGCCCGGAGCGGTCCTGAAAGTTTGGTGGCGATATCTCCAGTCGTTTAGGAGATATCGACGGAAAAGGACAGGGGGCCGTTTCGCCCCCCCCCCCTACGGGGCGCGGGTTAAAGTAAACAAATTGATATCAACTAACCATAGGTAAAACCTGTGAGCGTACTTACCTGGCTCGACGGTGATGACCATGCCCGGCTGGAGCGGCAGGTTTTTAGGGATCAGACCCGTGTCGTGAACGTCCATCCCCAGATAGTGGCCGACGTGGTGCGGGCAGAACCGCTGCACAGACTGGAGAAGGCGCGGAGGTCACAGGTCAGAGCAACGCTCATTTCAGAGGTCACAGGTCAGAGCAGCGTACAGCTCAGGTGTCATGGGTCAGAAGCCAAAACCATAGAGATCTTATATCTTATTTCTCTATGGTCAGAACAGCGTGCAGTCCAGAGGTTACATGTCAGTATGGTGATCAGCCCAGAGGTCACATATCAGCAATGGGCGAAATTCACAAGTTAGACCAATCCTTCAGTACAGTGTGCAGTGTTGCGTCAAAAGGTCATAATATTGGGGCATCCGGAGGTCACATTAGCACTGCGGACAGAGGATACATAGATACTCGATCATCGGTAGTCACGGATCATTGTGGGTCATCAAACAATGGACAGTTCTGAATAGTCTGTAGAGCAAACGTCACAGGACCTTGCCAACGGTAATTAGGGTGATTGGACCGTTAATTACCAGCTAGATACAAGACACTATTGCCTAGAAACACAGCTATGAGGTAAGTGACTGTGATAACTACGAACAGTGCATTGTGTCACAATAAGTAGAGATACGCGAATGTAACATATAATACCGATCCTAAGCGGTTAGCTGTTAGATACGAGCTGTACGACGGACGTCACGGTGTATTTGGTAACATCATCAGTGTAAGCGTGTACATCGAATGATACACGGAAAACGCCTCGTGTGAGTGGGCCAGGAAGCCAGGCGAGCTATTCCCCATTCCCCATTTAAGAATAAATTGCAGCGCTTGAAGCACACCTAAGCGCCAATAACAATAAGTACAGCCCGTAAAAGTTAAGTGCCTGTAATGATGCAAGCCCCAATTTAGTATCGACCATACCATAAGCAAAATCGGACGCCTTTGGATCCTCGTTTAATTGTCCCTAATCTGGCCTGCCCTAAATGTTCTGCGCATATTTAGGAGCGACAAAGGCGGAAAAGGTTCTGACGAGCATATTTTCATGACCATTGCACGATTATGCCAGCAAGACCTTTGTAAATTATTACAAAATGTTGCCTTACCAACCCAACCAGTGGATATCTTACATTGTTAGTGCTACAGCGTTAGTCGAGCTGTAAAGTCGACACAAACATTGATCAAAACGACGACAAAGGCCAAACCAACTGATCTGTTTTAACGCTCCTTCCAAAACGCCACAATAGGAGTTTGTACTTTGGATCTAGCGCATATTTTTCTCAAAATACCGACGAGGTTGACTTCAAAGGATCATCACACGGCCACACCAAGCCAGTGACCACTATTGTAGCACGCCGACTGAAGCCAGAGACCGCACGGTCCAAAAGCACGACATCAGACACTGCCGGGTGACTTCGACCGGCTACTGCCAAAGCGTGGTGGCGCGAAGCTAGAGCGTGTTTAGCGACACGGCTGCAGCGACCGACTGAAGCGGCACAGCGGGGCCCCTCGGCCGGGTCCGTGAATTACCTCCTCGAACACCCGGTGGGTCACACCCAGCCTGATGAGGGCCTGGTTGATCTGTGCGGGCATACCATGTCAGCTCGAGTGGGGGCACGCTAAACTACTGCAGTCAATCGGCACGCTATTCTACTGCAAATCCGGAGATAACCCAGATAGTGACAGAAGTGCAACAAAAAGACAGAAATGATAGAAGCGATTATGAGTTTGTCGCTGAACTTAAGTGAAATCCGTGGCCGGAAGAGACGATGCGTTAGTCACAGGGGAGAACAGCTGACGAGTGCAGGTATTCCACGCCAAATCGCAAAGCAGGTCGTTCGACACTCAATCTAACATGTTCTAAAAAGATATCAGTTCAGAGCTGTAAACTGATTTAAAATGGTACCTTGCAATGCGATTTGATGTCTCACATCTCCAATTAATTAAAGTCGTGCATAATCACCAAAAATCATCATCATAAAAGGTTGGTATTACGGCTAACTTTCATGATGCAAATCGGTGGGATTCACTGTTACTCACAAAGCGCACTACAAAGGCTGTTGAGCACGCCAACTGCAGGCATTAAGGATGCAGGCGACTTGCTGGTGAGACATCCACATTAGTAAAACGAGACAACAATCCAGCAACGCAGTGGCGGTCGGCATTACTATAGACTCCCAAGTCCCAATCCCCTTAGCATGGTCTCGGCACCTGCTCCATGATTAGGACCAGGCGATAAATGTGCTCGCAGAACACCCGGGCTCAGCGATACAGGAGGCCTCAAGCGCCACGCCAGGCCACGCCAGTGCCCATAAAGCCGGGAAGTGTTTTCATTTTTGACCAGTCTGTAGTCCCTACAGCCGAAATATGCGCCAAATGTATGAAGATGTCATATTCTATTGTGAGTTAGTACATCAGTTATAAAAGGTCAGTGGCATTTATTTATTTATTTATTTTTCGGTTCACCCGACAACCACAAACAAGTGGGCATTACGACAAACACGCATATAAATTGAGGTCAGAGATAGATACAAATTAAATGGCACTTGGCTCTATTATCTGTACCCAAATGTAGTCGATTATGAGTCAAATGTATATGTAGTAAAAAGAATTGGATCGTTTTGATTTTTAAATCAGAGCAGTCAAAGCTGTTTTAAAATGAAAATTAAAAAACAATCGTTTTCCATCAAATCACTACTAGAATCAGTCCCACTCGAGGCCAATCGAATACTGTATTACTACTGACGACTACTGATATGGAGTAGTCTATGGTCCTGACTCCTGATAAATTGCCCAAAAAATGGAAGATCAGATAGGCACACTACAGCGAGGTGTCCACAGCACACCGCCGTGTTGGCTATTTGAGGAGACAAAACACCGAAAATGGCTGCAAACCTGGCGGAGGTATACGACGCATAAAATACATTTAGCACATTGGTGTGGTTAAATGTGAACCAGCAATAAATGGTGCTCTTTAAGTGTAGCTACATTTACACACCATGCAATTACGTCACGCATAAAAATTGGCTCATTTTGAGCTGATGCAATTCACTAGATGTCACCCAAACAAATAGTGTTTTCGAAATTTTAGTACTAAATCGCCTGAACGTTATACTCATTATTCTGCACATTTTCTCAAACTTTTGCCCTGCACAGGCCTGGTTACATATCCGGCAGCTAACAACCTCTAAGTCTAGCTGATTATAGCAGTCATGCACCGGAGTAGCAGCTCTACTCTATAATGCGTAATCTGAAACGTCTAATCGCGGTTAAACAACACCGGCCACAGGCGAAACCCGCTCAACAACTTCAGTTCATTACACAAGCGTAAAATTTACAGTAACAAGAATATGGTAAGTGGGCATTTTAACATTCATACCATTCCCCTCTGCAAAGGGATCTCTAGGAAGCGTGTCGTTGCCCGAGTCTGTAGTGACTCTGACTCACCCTGAAGAGCTGTCCCTTCTCGCGGTTGAAGCCGACCAAGCCGAGGTCTGCCAGACGCTCAGAGAGCATCCTGAACATGTGACCGTACAGGCCGTCCAGCGAGGGCCGCGACGTCCGCACCACGTCGATGAGCGCCTCCTGTACCTGTGGACACCGGAGGAGACACAGTGTGTCATAGGGGTAGTGTCTAGCTGGTTCAGAGGGCCGCGACGTCCGCACCACGTCAATGAGCGCCTCCTGTACCTGTGGACACCGGAGATACAGTGTATCATTGGGGCAGTGTATATCTGGTTCAGAGGGCCGCGACGTCCGCACTACGTCAATGAGCGCCTCCTGTACCTGTGGCAGCAAGCGGGGGGACACAGGGTGAATACGTCCAGAGGGTCGTGACGTCCGCACCAAGTCAATGAACGCCTCCTGTACCTGTCGAGGCTACAGGGGACACAGGGTAGTTACACTGGGGTGGTTCATAGGTCCAGAAAGGGTCGCAACTTCAGCACGCACCACACATAACAGTCGTGTAACTAGCGCCAGAGGAAGACGGGATGACAAAATCAAAAACTAACCAATAGAAAAGGTTGGGCCATTTTTTTCCTCTTGAAGCTCATTCTTCGTCCGCCTACCTCATAAATACACTTATAAATCGGCGACACAGGAAATTCGGTGACGCAGACGTGCTCTACCTACCTCCAGCAGGGTGTTGTAGAGCAGCTTCTGCTGGCGGGAGAAGACACCGTTCACCGGCCAGGTGCGGGTAATGTCACTACAGTAGCCGTGCAGCTCACAGCCTGTATGACACAAGGGACACGGTCACATAGTGACACTGGACAGGCACAGTGACGGTAAAATAATGACGCCGTTCACCGGCCAAGTCCGGGTAATGTCGCTACAGTAGCCGTGCAGCTCACAGCCTACGGTGGCACAAAAAGAAAATGATGAAAGGAAAGACATTGCAACCTGTGAAGGAGAAATAGTGACACAACGGAATTATAATGGCAGAGACACAAAACCACATGGGGTGTGACTGTGTGACATAGTGGTCACACTGCGGGATTTTCCCGTCGTTTTGGTGCCCGGAAAAATATAATCGGCGACTCGCTGTTACGTCGACACTGAGACAGGCACATTCAACGATATGCGTGTCCTGGACCCACAGCAGAAAGCGAGCACTGACAGCAACAAACTCCATATCACAGAGGATAACAATCCTCTGTGAAGAACCCACCGTACCTCACCCGCCTGCCACGTACCTGCGTCCATGAGCACCAGCTGGCCGTCGTCCACCGTCCGGTTGTTGTTGGTGTAGTGGATCACGTTGGTGCGATCACCACCGGCCACCACTGGAGGGTAGGCCAGCCGCTCAGCACCGCGCATTCTCGCCCCGAACTCCACGCGGGCGTACAGTTCGTGCTCGGAGACCCCGGGACGGGAGGCCGCCATGGCGTCCCGTATGGCGGCGGAGGCGCAGCGGGCGGCCTTCCGCATCAGTCGCTGTTCGGCTGTAGATTTCACCAGGCGCAGACTCTGGATGGCACGGCGTGGTGACTCCAGAGCAGCGCCGCGGAGGGATGTCACCAGATCCCTCACGGTACCACTCAGCGGTCCGTGCACATCCACTGCAGAGAAGTCGAACCAGACTGCCGCCGTGCCGGTGCCCGCCCAGTCGGCGGCCAGACACTCGAGATAGCGGCCGAGCTCGGCAGTCCCGGCCGCCCGGTCCACACCCAGCATGGCGGGCGCGGCGGCCGGGCCCGTGCAGCCGCCCTCCCACAGCTGACGGTGTGCGGTGTTGCGCTGCACGAACAGCGTGGCGGTGTGCTCGGGCGGCGGCCGGCCCGGCTCTGAGTGCAGCACGAGCACCGCCTCCGGCTCCTGACATCCGCTCAGGTAGAGCAGGTCGGTGGCCTGCCGGAACGGGTGCGGGATGTCCTCAGAGAGGTGGCTGACGCGCGCCGCCGGCACGATCACCACCTGGTGCTGAGGAGGCTGCTGCTGCGGCGCCTGGCGGGCCAGCAGCTCCATCAGACGACGCCGACGGTCGGCGAACTCGTCAGCCGTCAGACCCGGCGTCACCTGACGGTAATGGGGGCGGATGTGCCGAGTTAGTGATCAGATGTTAGACTTCCAGCATTGGAGACAGGCCTCATGTCATGGGCAGTAGTTAGGGGTGGGCCACCAGGGGTCAGAATATATCAGCTAGGCTTTTGTCATAAGACAGCACAGAAGGCAGGAAAGCTACACTAGCTGGACAGTGGACAGCAATGATACTCAGATAACAGATCATCCTTCCATTTCATCCCAGAGTATGTGGGACATGAGCAGCCAATAGAGACAGCCTGTGATCCCTACCACCACATGTCTCTCCTCTCCTGCTAACATTATCAGACCAATCAGTGGTTGTTATGACTTACCTCTCCCTCCTTCATCAGATGAGGGTGTGTGCAGTTGAACGGCTGGCCATATGAGGTCTGAAGGGGAGACGCTGACTTGACAGATGTCTGGTGGCTTAGACATCTGTACAGAAGGTGTGATGTAGATAACTCTGGAGCAGGACATATAATGGTCAGATTTTCAGATAAGGCAGCATGTGGTGATTTGAAGCAACTGCACATTCACATCATTGATCATAATTAACACTTAAAATGCGATAAATTGAATAAATAACATCCTTTCAGCAAAGTAAAGAAAAGACAAATTGGATTTTGTCACTTAAATATGCCCATAATCAATGCTAAGTTTTTGCATTATTCTAGAAAAAACACATATTTTCATAATTCAGGTGCTGTGGGGAGGAAGAATTTGCCCCAAATTGCACCAAATGCTCCCTGGATCTACCAGTACTAGCTCAAACTCCCCCGGCCTGGTGAAGGCGGTTGGGGGAGTATCAATATGCCTTTTTCTAAAACAAATTGCATGTTCTGCACTAGTTTTTCAAAATGTCTCTGTTCAACCAAGCAGCAAAACATAATTCGATGACATTCTTCAGAGTCATTTAAACTTTAAAGACAGTTTGGCATGAAACAGTAGATTTCTTGTATAATCTTAAATGAGCTGGTTTGCAAGTTTGCAAGCTTTGTTGAATCTAGAACATTATTCCCAACAATCTGCATAAAGCATAGTTTTATGTATAAATGGAAAATTAGTTTTTCTGATTGCTTATATTCATAAATTAAAGTAATTCTCCCTTTAAAAACAAATAAGAAAAAACCACCCATCCAGCACACAGGAAGCCCAAAATGCATGCAGACTACTTTTGCCCCTTTTGCGAGTTATTGATATCCAAAAACCACTGGTGACGAGGAGATACAAAAGCTGACACATACCTCTTATATGTTGAATGCATATTCTTCTAGAAATGTTGCTTTTCGCTAAAAATGGAGCAAAAAATCTCCTAACCTGCTCCATCGCGTGCGCCATGTTTGCTCTTACTGCGCCAGACTCGCTGTGACCTTGAAATTGCTTCCAAACAAATTGAAGGAGTTGGCAGTAATTCTGTGAGGAAAACTTTCCTCCGAAAGCATCTGATGCAATGCAACCCGTGGCGGTGGTTGTGATGCAAGTGCAACCGACTTCGGAGAAAAGCTGATGCAATCGTGATGTGTTCAGCCCTCTGCTTTTTAGTTGATTCTCCGGAAATATCAGAATATGACACTCCCGAGTCGAGTCTCGGACTGGGTGAAGCGCCTGAGCCCTGAACCGGGGGAATAAAGCAAATAAGATCTACGTGCTTATATTCCAGTTACATCGAGAACGAGTCCCCGCGGTCCGCCTCCGGCTCCCACACTTTGGCAGAACTGAATTGAACCACTCCTTTCAACCTCTGCTGGCTGCACTTCGGTCTAATGACCTACGTTTTAGATTATTTGAATAATATCTCGCCTATATTTCCTTAACCCTCGCCCGCACATGCCATTTTCCCATCCTAGAACGCACATGGGGGGGGGGGTTCCACCCCCCTGCGCCATTCCGTAACCGTTCCTATTGGAGATAGAGCTTAGCGGTAAAGACCAAAAAGATTCTTTGGGAAGAGACAAATCCAATGCTAACTACCCAGTTTTACCTTCTCACGTCAGTCATTGACCTTCCAGGTCAGGTCAAACTAAAAAATGCTGCTGTTTTGGGTCACCGTTGGATATCAAGTGCGCTGCTTATCAAATACCCAGGGACGTAGCCAAGGGGGGGGCGGAGGGGGCGCCCGCCCCTCCCTTGGGGTTTTCAGGAGGCCTCCCGAAAGGATTCAGGCCAACGTGGGCCGAAGGCCCACGTTGGCCTGAATCCTTTCGGCCTGAATCCAACGTGGGCCGAAGGCCCACGTTGGCCAAAATCACGTCGGAGGCGAACGAAATTCACCCGGGAATCTAAAAAATGACGTCAGAACAATCAGGGCCCTCTGACCAGCCTGACAAGTGACAGCTAGGGCCCTTCTCATCTCCTGTGAATAACCACTAGTATCTGTGTCTGACCGCTAAGGCCCCTCTGACTCCTCAGTAGAGAGGAGGCCCTCTGTGGGTAGGAGGCCCTGTGTAGAGAGGAGGCCCCCTTAGAGAGGAGACCCCCTGTAGAGAGGAAGCCCTCTGCAAAAAGGAGGCCCTCTGTAAAAAAGAGGCCCTCTGTAAAATAGAGGCACTCTGTAAAAAGGAGGCCCTCTGTAGAGAGGAGGCCCTCTGTAGAGAGGAGATCGTCTGAAGAGAGGAGGCCCTCTGTAGAGGAGGACTCCCTCAGTAGAAAGGAGGTCCTCTGTAGGTAGGAGGCCCTCAGTAGAGTGAAGGCCCTCTGAAGAGAGGAGGCCCTTTGCAGAGATGAGGTCCTCGGTATAGAGGAGGTCCTGTGTAGAGACGAGACTCTGAAGAGAGGAGGCCCTACATAGATAGGAAGCCCTCTGTAGAGAGGATGCCCTCTGTAGAGAGGATGCCCTCTGTAGAGAGGATGCCCTCTGTAGAGAGGATGCCCTCTGTAAAGGAGGCCCTCTGGAGAGAAAGACACCCTCAGCAGAGAGGAGGCCCTCTGTAGATAAGAGGCAATCTGTAGAGAGGAAGCCCTCTGTGGCTGTGTTGGTATTTTTACGATGGATGCAATTACCCAAACCATTTATCAGACCGTGGTGATATTCCCATAGCCATGCTTCGCACAACTCATAATAATTTATTTGACCGGGAAATTAATATATACCTATCCATCGATTGTTTGTTTCATCTACGGCGTAAATGAAGCAAACCACCTGGACCATAGGAAAATTTACTAACGAAACCATGTTTTACTTACGGCAAGTAAACGTGGCATCATTCACACATAAAAAATTGATAACCGTATAGTTTCAATCTTGCAGACGTCAGTCAGGTCAGAATCGTGACAATCCTATTGGAAAATATAATGAACTGTGTCCTGCTTCGAGAAAACGAGTCAAAACCACCCAATTCTTTCTGAATTAGGTACGTCAGGTCAGATTATCTGATCTGTAAGCACCCAGGTGGCATTTACTGACAGGGGCACCGGGAAGGATCATCTGAGGTGAGGTGAGGTCATCAACAGTTTTTAGCCAATAAATCACGACATGATGGGGCTAGATAGTTGTTAGTGTACCAAACCGTTCGCCTGATCATGACGCGCCGATTGGTACCCAGCGTGACCTTCCTAGGTCAGATTTTGAAGTTGACCTATCTATGTAGGTCGTTATAAACCATGTTATTTGTTATGACCTCTGGCGACCTCAATATTGACCTGACCCAAAAAATTGTTTACAAAAGTTGTAAGTCGTTCAACGAACTATCAAACGCCGTTGCCGTTTGTCGCTACGATTCGTGCTTTTCGAGTTCTGACGGGGGCCAAAAAGGCCCCCGCCCGATCCAGAGTCTTTCAGAGCCCGCCCGGAATACGGTTAAGCGCTTGAACGATATATGATAATACACCAAGTGTTAGGTACTCTGACCGTCATCTATCCATCCATTCCTCGCAGATCCTCCCCCCCCCGCCCCCCTCCTGCTGCGGTCCGGCCGCCGCCGTCGCCGCCGCCGGCGCCCGAGTTTTTTTTTTTTTTTGCCAGTTACCATGCCACTGGGAGTCTTGTGATATGCGTATGTTTCTTACCGCGACAGCGGTAAGAATAAAGAAACATACCAGTGCGCTGGCCATATGAAAGCTGAACAAAAGTCTGCATTATGTTGTATATGTAGTTATGTAGGCATGAGACCCTCTGTAGAAAGGAGGCCCCTTTAGGGAGGAGGCCCTCTGTAGAAAGGAGGCCCCCGGGATTCCTCCGCCCCTCCCTTGGCCAAATCCTAGCTACGTGCCTGCAAATACCGATGACAATGCTGTTTTCTGGTACCAAGCCAGCTAGAACCTCTTTGTCACAGTACCCGACCAGATTTTTGCTGCTGAGGTCATTTCAGGTCAAGTTAGGTCAAGGTCAATTATATGTGTTTGTATGTCTGTGTGTGTCTGTATGTATACCTACTGATGTGTGTACAACGATTGTTTTTGGGTCCATATTACATGAAATCATGATCTGAGAAGCTTTTACCAAAAAATGCAGTCAAAAAACTTCACAAAAAGTAAATTCAGCTTGCCTAAAACGCAATTATCTTAATGACCTAGGTTGACCTTGACCCTGACCTTGACCCCTGTACATCGTCGAACAACATGTTCCATGATAGGTGGGAGGTAAGACTGGCAAAAAAGGCCGAAATCAGGGTGTCAAAAGCTCACAAGGCCCATGGCAAACGCAAGATGTTGAGAATTGGCCATTTGGGTCATGACATGACCTGAAAAACAAGGTCATATCTCCGAAACCAAAAACCACAGAAACTTGAAATTTTCAGTGGACATCAAGAAAGGATGGAGGAGCAGCTATACGAAAAATCAGCCTTCTAGCTCTAAAAATGTTGAGTGCAGAGCAGAAAGACTACCTGCCTGGGGGGTGGCAACCCCCCCCCCCCCATGTGCGGGCGAGGGTTAATACCTATTTTGATTTGATAATGATGGTAAGATATATATATATATATATATATATATATATATATATATATATATATATATATATATATATATATATATATATATATATATATATATATATATATATATATATTTTGATTTGATTTGATATTTTGATTTGATAATGATGGTAAGATATATATATATATATATATATATATATATATATATATATATATATATATATATATATATATATATATATATATATATATATATATATATATATATATATATATATATTGTCTATTACTACTCAACATGGTAAGATATATCTGATTAATAATAAAACCAACACTTTGTTACCTGGCCTGGACAATAAAACAGCGCAGAGCACTGACATGCAAATTACTATGAATTGAAGACGGATTCGCTCTATCGTGACCACTGACCATCATCATTCATTCAACCCTTAACATACAATTGAGCCTTCTATTAGTCGTTCACCCTCATGTCATTTGTCATTTGCCATCATATAGCTGTACCTACCTATTACTGTTCAAAACATACAACGACCAGTAGAAAAATGTATATTTGCTTCGTCTCGATCGCAGCGTCAGCCGTCAGCCGTTCTCGTTCGTCGTTTTACTTAGTCGCACTCAACTCGCCGTTATCCAGAAATATCAGTCTCCCTCTCAGTATCGACCCCGGTACATTCAGCAGTGCGCTCTCTGCCAATTGACCAGCAGGGCCGTGTCCACGTTGTACGTTCCCATGAAGTAGTCGGCCATAACGATGTTGCTCTTGTCCCACCAGTCGTAGCGGACCATCCTGGAGACGTTCCTGTTGACCAGATCAGCCATCTGCCGGAGCGACTCGAGCCGGTCGAAGACGATGTCGCTAGTGTGCTCAGTCATCTCGCCCGCCAGTGCCCAGATCTCGTCTCGCGGTGCCTCGTCCATGGCGCGCCGCAGCGTCTCGTACAGTGCCTCGGGTGTGTCGTCGTTGTTCCACGAGTTGGGCACGCGCGGCCAGAGGTAGTCGCGTCCGGCCGGGTCGCGGTCCCAGCTGAGCACCAGGCGAGTGTCGGCCGCCCACAGGTCGGAGAGCAGCACGTGGTGGGGTGCCTCAGCGGGCCGCGGCGCCAGCCACCGCTCCAGACGGGGCACCACCAGCGACAGCAACTCCTCGTATGCCTCCGGGTGGCTGTCGAACGAGCCCTCGAACCCACCGATCTCGTAGATAACGATCTCAGTGGAGGCCTCCATCATGGCGACGAGGTCGTCGATGGCGATGTGGAAGGGTCGGAAGGGAACCAGGCCGTGACTCACCCAGAACCTCTCGGCGGTCGCCGGCGCGAACAGCACCCGCACGTCGAAATACCGAGCGCCGAGGTAGAACTGAGACAGCAGCGTCTCCTCCTGCGCGGAGGCGTACCGCTGCAGGAGATCATCATCCGAACTCTCTCCTCTGTAGTTCGTGTAGGAGGCCGCATCGTGCGTGCCGGGCAGCATCACCTCGTGCAGGTGGAAGTCCTGGATGTCGGCCGCCATCTGGGACATCCAGTCGGGTCGGGTGAAGAGACAGCTGGAGGCGATGACGGCGCCGTCGCGGCGGTACTCGGT